TGGACCGACAATCGGGCATAATTAAGAATTTTTTCAAGGATCGTCAGGGCCTTGGTATATTTAAAGGCAACGACAGAAGTAATATCGTGGATTTTTTAATGGATCATACTAAGAGCTTTAGTCATGGAGTTTATAAAGATTTGTGATCTGCGATATCTTCTTTCGACGCCATTTGTTACCCTCATATCAAATTCTACATTTCCGGCTCTATCCGTTTGTAGAAAATCAATTTTACTATAGTTTGTACCCTTTAGTACTTTTCGTAACCTTAAAGTAGAAGTATCAAAAATATGCCGCATCTCATTCCCCTATTTAAAAACGTCTCTCCATGCTAATTTCAAAGTTCTATATTTTTTGGAACGACAATTAGTGAAGTTGTACGATTTTTAACCTTTTTAGAATTTTGAAATACAAAATTTCCAAATTTTCTCTTTATCACTCACCCAAGATTGATCCTCATACAAAATTTTGTTTCTTACTCTTCAGATAGCCCAAGACCAATGTGCTTTCAAAGCCCTCATAAAAAAGTTGTACCATTTTATAGTTTTAGTTCATTTCGTACACTTAAAGTACGAATTCCCATAATTGCCCCATGATGACATTATCGTTTACCTACGAATATGACTCCTTTAAAAATCCACGATTGAAAAAAATTACGATTTTTAACAGTCACTTAAAAAATCACGATTATAGCTCTGAAATCTGTTCCAATGCAAAATTTCAACGTTGTAGCTCTTCACAATCGCCGAATAACAATGTGGTACCAGTTTGTACCCTTGAGTATAGCTTTTGTTTGTAGGGAAAGAATTTCCAAACTCCTAACTTATTTGAACCAAGAGTGACCTCCTTCAAGCTAAATATCAAAGTTCTAGCTTTGCTTAATTGTCCCTATTTGTATTTTGAAAGAACGAATCCATAAAATCCCAAGAGTGACTCCCGTGCAAAATGTCAATGCTTTAGTTCTTATCAATTACTCAAGAACAATGTTGATTGATTTTGTACCTATTTCTTGTACTTTTTAGTACTTCTCGTAGCCTTACATTGCGATGTAACCAATAATAGCATATGTCTTACTTGAGGGTCAATATTTCAAAGTTCTATCTCGCTCGATAACAATTTTGTACCATTTTATACTTTTGCAGAAATTTTCTAGATTCTAGGTTCAGCTGTTTCCTTCGACGTAGATGACACGTTTTGGTAGTGGCATGCCTCAAAATTATATCGATGTCTAGGCCTAAGAGCAATTGCGTGATACATGTGACAATTATTTACGGACATGGGGACAACCCCTTTTTAGAATTCATCGATAAGTTATATTACCCTGAAATCACGAAGAAGGATTTTGCTTTTTATATTAGTTTGGTGGATGTCAAGGAAGTGCTTCCGCGCCAAAGGTCTCTTTGTCATATAATGGGGTTTCTAACCCATTTTAGTCCGCCTTATTAACATGCCAATCATTGCTATATCAACGATAATGGGGAATATAAGTTATTCCGCTTTGGATTTTTTAAAGAATCCATTATTTTAAAACTAGAGATAATACAGAAGGTAGCTTATGGCTCCCAAACTTTTGCTGGGTTACAATCCAATTTCTCGAACTGCGTGTTAAAATTAAGCCAACTTTTGTTCAGTGTTTAAATTCCATCCAAAGTTCCCATTGTATCCTTCTTGAACATGTGATCTAAAAATATTATCCAAAGCCCATTAAAGCTTATTTTATTATAAACCATTATCGTTAAAAATATATTTTCTTACCATAAATTTCCCATCATTAAATGGCTCTGTGTGTGTTTATGTGTCAAATGTCATTACAATTTTCATTAACTATGTCTAGACTTATTTTATAATAAATTTTAATTTATTTGTCATGAAAAAAAAAACTGAGGTTGTTTGGGTTCGGGGTTCGGGTAAGAACATTATCAATTTAATTTTATGGTTATGGCAAAAACGAAGGAGAAGTAACACCACAGAGACGACATTAATAAATTGATGAAGAGATGCAGTGACATGCAAACTCAAACACACACACACAAATGTGACACAAGAAACACGTTATATTTGCACAATGCATTAATGGGAGAGGATTGCGGGGTAGGTATGCATTATGAGGGATAAATATTCTCACGCAGAAAAAAAAAATCAAGTTAAAATTAGGAAATGTTGGGTTGACATGGGATGCCGGTATCATCTAAATATATAACAGTGTTGTGAAATAATTGAATGATAATCAGACGAAACTGCTGAAGCTAGAAATTTTGCACAAGGGTCAGCAATCGTACTAAAAGGGTACGAAAAGTACTAACAATTAAATACTTTGTATTTGGCAAACTAAACAAGCTAGAAATTTGGATTGAGAGTCACTGATGAGTGTAGGATGGATGCGCCAAAGGTTTTTTGGAAATTCGGACTATAAGGCTACGAAAAGTCTAAAGTGATACTTAACTCCTAAAATAGTATCATTTCATTAAATTTTAAAATTTGGTATGAGAATCATGGTTGGCAAAGTAAGTTCGATGTATGAACGTAGTTCTGAAAATGTACTAAGTGCTCGAACTGCACTATATGGTACTAAATTTGGCTTAAAGTTAATTCTAATAGCATGTAGGGATGAAGCTGGAATTTTGAAAATTTTTATTTAAGATCCCTGTTGGTGGTAAGTTTGTGAAAAAGAGGTGGTTGGGAAATGTATGTGATATTCGGACTATAAGGTTAAGAAAAGATCTAAAATGGTACTAAATTTCTGAAATTGTACCATTTGGTATTCTCTGATAGATAGAGTTAAACTCTTAAAATTTGGCATGAGAATCAAGGTTGGCAAAGGAAGTTGGATTTTTGAAGGTGGTTTTAAAATTGTGAACTATATGTTCAAACTGTACTAAATAGTACTACATTTGGAAAACTTTGGTATAATGGTGAACGGATGAAGCAGGAATTTTGAACTTTTATATTTAGCCTATTTTTATTAGTAGGCTAAACATTGGAGGTGGTTTCGGAAATGTGTAGTATAATTGTACGTAAAGTACTGAATGGTACCATATTTGGTATTTTGTGAAAGGATGGAGATGAAATTTGATATTTAGATTACTGTTAGTATCTATGTTTGATATTTGGCGGTAAGTTGGAAATGCACCTCATATTTGTACGAAAAATACAAAATGGTACGAAATATGGTATTGGTTAAGGGATAGAGCTGGAATCCTCACTCCTGGTATTGTGGATGTTGTTTTGGATGTTCGTACCATAAATGTACTAAAGGGTACTAAATTTGGTAATACAGGAAATTAAAGGGCTGAAATCCTCAAATTTGATATTGGGGTCGCTGCAGGTATCTGGAATTGAGATTTGGATGTCGTTTTGGAAATGCGTACAATAATTGTACGTAAAGTATTAAATTTGGTATTGGGTGAAGGAATATAGGTGAAATCCTGAAATTTGATGTAAATGTCACTTTCAATGGCTGTGGTTCAGAGATGAAAAAAACTGCAACCAACTTCAGACTGTTGTAATTTCTAAGTAACTCGTCCGACAGCTGTTAAAATTATTCCAGTGACAGCTCATTATATTATTTACAATCATACAAAAGCATTTTGGTGAGAATTGTCCAGAAAAAAATTATTCGTGATGGAATTCACGCGCGATAGTGTGATTTGTTTATATTTGGCTGGAAAACCACAAGTGGCTATCGTTAGAGCACTCCAGCATTTAAATGTGAATAAATCTTTTGTGTCTCGTACCATTGCTCGTTACGGTGATACTGGTGGCGTAGCCCGACGTCAAATAAGTGGACGGAAGAGAACAGCAAAATCAGCAGAAATGGTTTGAAAAGTAGAGAAGCGACTTGATCGAAACCCTCGTAGCGTGGCCGAAAAATGTCTCCAGAGCTGAATATATCGAAATATTCCTTCGGCAAATATCGAAAAATGAGTTCGGGGTAAAGCCATTGAAATTGCAAAAAGTGCAAGAACTTACACCGCAATAGAAAGAAAATAGACTCGAAAGAGCTAAAGAGTTCCTTCGCTTGGCCAAAAGTGGTGAACTGGCGAATTTGGTTTTCTCCGGTGAGAAAACATTCGTTGTCCAGCAGTTTGTATATAAACAAAACAAAAATTATCGCGTTTACTTGCGAAAGAGTTCAGCTGAAAATGCGCTCCAGAACTCAAGCGCCGGCCATAGTGAAGTTGTGGGCCGCCATAACAGTCGATGGTCGATCTCCGCTCGTATTAATCGACCGTGGCATCAGAATAAATGCCGAATATTATCGCGAAAATATTCTGGAGGGTGTATTAAAGCCTTGGGGGCAGACATTCCAACAGGATTCAGCACCATCGGACTCAGCACGCATCACCCAAGAATGGTTACAAAATGTGGTTCCTTACTTCATTCCCAGCGCACAATGGCCACCAAAATCTAGTGGACTATTGTGTCGGGAGTATTTTGGAAAGCAAGGTTGGCAATAAAAAATACCAAAGTGTCGATCACCTCAAGCAAGCGCTTCGCCGGGAATGAGCCAAAATATCGCAGAGCAACATTCGGGCAGCGTGTGACGATTTCATTGGTCGTTTGAAGGCCTTAATTCGTACCGAAGGTGACCAATACGAACAAATCTAGAGTTATGCGAAAATTTGATGCTACTTCCGACATTTTTTTGCTTTCATTCAATAAAATTTAAAGAAAATGTAAAAATTATGGCATTTGACTTTGTAGCAGTTTTTTATCTCACCCTGTATATATTTGAAACGAGGACTTGGATAATTTTTGTGGTTGTGGATTTATGGGTCGTGGAGTGGTACTCCACTCCCCCTCTTCTATAAATTACTGCCGAATTGCCGTTTTATATTACTCTCCTTATTACAGAGATAATGATATGTTTTGACTTAGATATATATTCATTGCTCCAATGGTCTATAGAATTCTAATTCACCTGATTTATAAGTTATGAATAGCATTAAAACCCAATTAATATGATCAATAAAACGTAATATTTTAAAATGTCTACTTACATGTTCATCCACAGAATATGTGAGTTCACCATCATCATAGAGAACGAACCACCTTCTTTGCCATCTCTGCAAAAAAGAAAAAAAAACATAAAAATAGAAAATGAGGAAATAAATTCTAATTGAAAAAAGAACTTATAAAGAAAACAATGACAATGGCGTTTATTTATAAAAAAGGGCTAAGTCATCAACTGAAAAATAAAATTAAAATGTATAAACAATTGTGACAAAATATTACAGATGACAAATAAACGGCACTTGTATGTATGTTAAATGCAGCTATAAATTGGGTCATATAGAATGCAGACACCACACACACAACATACGCATTCATTAATTTTAATGTCATGCCAGTCATGCCAATGCCAGTCAAACAGCCTTTCCTGTCGGTTTGAGATTATTCTTTTTATTATTGTTATTATTTTTTTAAGAGGCGTCAGACTTGATTCTGTGTAATTTTTACAACAGCTGGCTGTATGTTGCAGTTTATGTTGATATTTTCATCAAGTGTGTTCTTTTGATATGTTCTTTGAAATTGTACAAAATGCAACGATTAAATTTTAAATCACACAATTAAAATGACAATCTGTTCTTCGGAAGAATGATAAACATACATATAAACATTCATAAGTTTAACAAATTAAAAAATAAGAACTAAGACAGTGTGCCAGAGAAAAACTGGGATTGCCAAGAGATTAAGACTAAAGATGAGATCATACATGAAGTTAGAGGTATATGTTAAGTGATTTTTTCCACGATGATCTGTAGCGTATTTATACCCTCAGCCATATGGCTACAGAATTTGATACGGTCAAAACGTGCCTAGTCGAAATAACGGTTTAGGTCTCTTGAACCAAATCCGTTTCAGAACATTTGGAGTCGATCTAGCGATGTCCGTCCGTCCGTCTGTCTGGCTAGTGCGCACGATAACTCTCGAAAGTAGTATCCAATTGGATCCAAACTTGGTACATCGTAATACTTTTGTAAAACTTGGATAGAGTTCGGAGATGGGTCATATCGGTCTACTCCTTCTGGTACTTCCCCCACAAAATGTCGAAATTTTTTGAAAATATATATTTTTTGCACAGAAAGAGTAAGGATAATCCGATTTTTCTCCAACTTAGCATATCCTAATATGTGCGTCAGTGCTAGATCAGGTGTGAAAATGGACAATATCAGTCTACTCCATCAAGTACCTCCTCCATAAATGATCAACTCTCATAAAATGTGATGTAAGAGTCGGATTTACTTCAAATTTCACACATCCCAATATTTATATTAACCCAAGGACTGGTATTAAGATGGGCAAAATCGCTCCACTCCTTCTGGTACCTCGCCCACAAATAGTCGAAAATTTAAATAATTACAACTCTTATAAAAAAAATTTGAAACTCCTAATATTTGCGTCAGTGCTAAGTCAGGTGTAAAAATGGACAATATCGGTTAACTCCTTCTAGTACCTCACCCACAAATGGTCAAAATTTTAAATAATTACAACTCTTATAAAATGTAATGTAAGAGTCCGATTGTCTTCAAATTTCACACATCCCAATATTTATATTAACCCAAGTTCTGGTGTAAAGATGGAATATATCGGTTCACTCCTTCTGGTATCTCTCCCACAAACAATATTTCCATTAATACAAGATCTGTTATAAAGATAATAGAGATCGGACCATTTCTTTTGCTGCTTGCCACACATAGGGTTCAGATTTTTGAAAAACATAACGCTCAAAGAAAGCGAAATAAGCATCCAAGTCTCTTCAAATTTCACACATACAAACATTTTTGCTAACACAAGATCTGTTGTGAAGATGATAGATATCTGCGAACCCCTTCTGGTACCTCACCCACAAAGGGATAAATGTCTCTCATCCAGAATCCTGAGAGGAATATGGAATTTATGATTTCCCATAAATTAGATATAAATGTTCGATATTCTTATATATTCATAATAATATTTATATCATATTTATTTAGGTCCGATATGAAATGGAAAATATTGACCCATTCTTTCAAACGCCACTCCATAGAGGGTCAAGAGTTCATAACAGAAGTCAAAATATTTTAAAATAATCGAACATTTGCTGTGGGTATACATCTGTCGGCAAAACCGACCGATACTATTTTACTTGTTATATAGCCTACTTTCAGTCGTTCCTAAACATTTTTTGATCTAAAAAACGAATTGTAAATAATTTTTAATATGTTCTACTACTGGGAAGGAAATTAAAATTTTTCAAAAAAAATCCGCTTAAATGAAAACCGTTATATGGGATCTATACGAATACGGGTACCTGCATAAGTAATTTTCTCATAGGCTTTGGTATCGATTCCGTATTTTAAATACGAAATCCGAAACAATTCAGTTGAATAATGTCGCTATCATCATCCAAATACCGAATAAAGGTAGATGTGGACAAGCTAATGGCATGGGTTATAGTGCCCATTACGAACTTCAAATACCAAATTTGAAACAATTCCCGTGAATAATGTCGCTAAAATCATCAAAATACTGAATATCGGGAGGTATCGTTATATGGGTTCTATATAAAGATGTGGATCTGCACACGTAACTTTTTGTCATAGACTGTAGTACCCATTAAAAATACGAATTTTTAAACAATTCCGGTCTATAATGTCTCATATATAAAGGCGTGGGCCTGTATATATCATTTGTCCATTAAGATATTTAAAAGCGATCTTATATATATAGCGTCGGTAAAATCATCAAAATACAAAATATAGGGAGATACCATTATATGGGAGATATACGAAAAGGTGGACCGATACGGTCCATTAACCTAACTTGCCTAATGGCAAAATGCACATATGTGCAAAATTTTAGACTACAGCTTTTTGAGGAGTTACAAACGTTAATATACCCTCCTTTCAAAGGTGAGAGTATAAAAATTACAGGGTAATTCTAGCAGATTATGAAAGTAGAGAAAGTAGAGATGTGACATTTTACAGCGCAAAGTACACTTAATGGAGAGAGAAGTTACCCTATTTTTTCACATTTTTTTTTTTAAATTTTCGGACAAAGGGATTTTTTAGTTCTTTTTTAAAAATATGTTTAAAAATCCATTAAAAGAAGATAGTAGCGGGACAAAATGTTTACAAAATTATTTGTCACAATATTTTACTATGGGTCCTAGAAGAGGTCATAAGTATAAAACTTATCTAAACGCCAGGAATATCCTAATCATTGGTAAAGTTTTCTCGGTTCAAGCTCAATTCCGTTCTCACTTGTTGTAATTTCCCATATAATTCACCTTCGCCTTCTGTATGTAATTAATTCCCTGACGTTTGATTGATTATTGGTTTTTTGTTGTTTCGACATTTTTATTTTCAAATAAACACAAGGCGTCACTTGATGTATTCTTGTTTTCGTTTCTCTACATAACTGACATTTGACATTTCATTGCCAATTAAATACGAACGCGATAAATTCATTTATATAATTTTCAAGTACAGACGTCACAATAGAAAGACCGCCGGCATCGGTATTTTTTTTTTTATTGAAATTGCAGCCAGATGTTGAGGCAAGGTGTAATTAAATTAGTTAACATGCAATGATGGCGTTGATGCGATATTTGTAAGGTTTCTTTTGAGACATAACAAATAATTTCTCTCGTTCGATTTCTTTACACCTACATAGACTTTTTTCGGCACTTAATCTGTTTTGGCAATTTGGAGTCATAAACAAAATTATCCTATTTTTTGACAATATTAAAGGAAATTGCTATGATTTTTCTTTTCACCAGCAATTTAGCATAAAGTTTGGGTATTTTATTCAAAGAGATACACATAAAGATAATACTTTTTTGACAGAGTCGTAGCCAAAGGGAGGGGGATGAGAGGTGTATTTTACTTCCTCAATTTCGGAAAAGTATTCCATATATAGAGCCAAGGCAAAGGAGACCCATAAAAGGAAAACTTTTTCCTCCATAGCCGTAGCCAAAGGGAGGGGGATGAGGGGTGCAAGTTTTTTATTAAAATTAGGAAACCATTTTCCACAATTTTAGATATATAGACTCTTTAAAGAATTTTTTTTGTAGGCAAGAGCTTGGAATGAGGGTCACCTTTAATTATTCTAAGAAATTTTTCGTTTGCTTAATTCGCCTCATCGTAGCCAAAGGTAGAGGGATGAGAGGTGTATTTTCGTCTTCAATTTAGGAAAAATATTCTTTTTTTTTTGAAATATAGAGTCAAGGCAAAAAGAGACACCCATTAAAGGAAAACTTTTTTCTCCGTAGACAAAAGGAGGGGGATGAGGGGTGCATATTTTTTGTTATTAAAATTAGGAAACCATTTTCCACTATTTTAGAAATATAGACTCTGTAAAGAATTTTTTTTGTAGGCAAGGGCTTGGTATGAGGGTCACTTTTAATTATTTGAAGAAATTTTTCATTTTCTTTATTCGCCTCATCAAATCTTAATTCCAAGTACCGTACGGCTAGCCACCACTCTGAGATACTTTTTGAGCCTACTACCAGCCCACATTCCACCACCACCACCTTTTGCATAGATTCGACCCGAGAGCTGGTATAAAGTGGAAGTAAAAAACCTCACTTTAATTTGTGTACCAATAACGTAAATTATGCAAATTTTTATTATTGTATCCTCTCCTTCCGCTCATCCAACAATACCACACCACATATACGAAGAATGCCTTCAAACCGGGCTAAAAATAAAAAAAAAAACAGCTACAGATGCAAAAATTGTGATATATGCAGATTAGCTTCAGTGCAAACCAGAGGGGAAAATCACAAAATAATTGCCTGCACATATCGCTTTAAAGGTGGTCTGAATTTTCCTTTTTTTGTTGTTTTTGGTTATTTATGAATATTTATGGCTATATCTTTGCCGGTATAAAGATAATTTAACAAAACAACATTACCAGCAACTCAAAGGCGATAAGACCAACGCCTTATACTCTTCTCATTTTCGCAGTTATGATTTTGAAAAAAAAAAAAAATAATCAGTGGATTTAAGTGGTAGATCAAAGGTAGCGAGTGCGAGTAACAGTGGGGGAAATTCAAATAGGATCAGGGCGTTTTATGCTG